TTTTGAAAGGCCTCTAGTGCTAAAATATTAAAATTTATAATTAGTGTAATTTTTGTAAAGTTAAAAGAAGAAAATATTTCGTTTATTGTTTATTTTGTTGACTAACTTTTTTTACTTATACATATATATATATATATAATATATATATATATATATATATATATATATATATATATATATATATATATATATATATATATATATATATATATATATATATATATATATATATATATATATATATATATATAGGTAATTATACACAAATGTGTATAATTACCTTTTTTTTGTAGATATTTAGGTGCTCCCAAATGTCCTTACGGTCTTATCATAGAGCACCGCGAAAGAACATTTAACAGGATGTTGACGCCTCCTTCCGTACCAATGTCGTGTGATGGGCTAGAGTTGGCGTCGAACCTCGGAACTCTGGGTTCTGAGTCAGAACTCCTACTACTGCGCCACGGCTGCATTAATTAATTTAAACAACAATCCATACTTTTTCGGTTTGCTTTGGTTGTATTGCTTGAAGAAAACCTGTGTTCTCATTGGATAAAGGGTCTTATGAAGTGATAAAAAATCACAGGCTCATAAAGAGTGCACACTCTTTACGAGTCTGTGGGACTTTTTAAGCAGTTTTCTAACCGTATCATACACTTGTTTATCATAACGTGTACATTCGTCTCAAAGCTAAGATTTACCATTAGATAAGTAAAAGCGCTCACGACACGTTACAGAACTAAATATTAGTAAATCAAAATGATCCGAAAAAAGTTATTTGGCTTTATGGATCCAAAAAAGTTATTAGACTTGCACAACCCACAATACAACATCAAACTAAGTAATGCTTTCAATTTAATAGACTTTCCTTTAAAAATGTGTGTTTAAAATGGGTAATTAGGAATCTCTCTTTGATTTTGAATTAATGACATTCATTTTATTATTTGTATCATGGACAATATTATTTATCATTTCATCGGTTATATAATTGTTGAATGCTTCGATAGGTGATTTAGCATATTCAGAAAATCTAATTGATCCAGTTTTTCCAATTACAACATCTACTGCCCACTGTCAACTTGTCTGCTTGATGAGAGATTTGATTATAAAAGTTCTTTTTATAGCAAAATTAATTTTTTTGGTACTGGTTTTTGTTATAGATTCCATAGTTACAAATTTTCCGAAGATAGTTATTATTGCATAGTTAGATTCATCAAATGCCCTATTTATTGAATTAACTTTTCAGTAATTAATTAGGATTTCTATTTGATCTCTCACACTTAACAACCTCATTGTCTTTGATGTCGTTATTGTTATGGAAACATCAAAATCTGGTTTATAGAGACAAAATTCAAAACGTAAAAAGCTTTTTCACACATGCAAGATTTATTTTAATTTTGTGAACATGATTCTTCACCCAGTTTAGCCAAAGCATTGTTTTCATTATCAGAGTTTTTAGCAAAGTTGAGAATATTTGCTATAGCATCTTCTGAAGCCTTTATTTGCTCATATTTTATATATATATATTTTTATTGCATTTAGTTTTTTTTTCTTTTATTTCTGAACATAAACATGGAAATAAACATTAAAATAAAAAAGCGTGTTAAAAAGTTGTAAAGGTTTGTTATAGTCAAATAAAATTTAAGTTTGTTGACAAGACCGCAAAAAAAAAAAAAAACACTGTGAGGCCTTTTCAGTCAGGCTATTATATTTATTTGGTAATGATGTGGTAAATTGTAAAATATAAAAAGTGAAACCGTAAAATAAATCTTTTTATTATTCTTGTTTTGCTAAATAACAACCATTAAGAGGTTGGTTGGGCGGTCGGTTTTATCTATTTTGGCCAGCCCTATCATCTTTCTGTCTTACTCTAATAGTCGTTTTTGACTGATCCAGTCCTGTAATTCATTTTTGTATTCTTTATAAAATGATATTGCATACAACGCAACTTTGTTACATAGTATCGGGGCTTTCTCTATTTTACATTTGATGTTAAACAGTTTGCTGTAAAACAAACAATTTGGATTTCAAAAAGATAATTCAACAAACGATGCTATAATCGAACTAGTTAATCATGTATCGGATGCATTCAATAATGACTATTTTACTTTAGGAGTTTTTATTGTTCTGTCGAAAACCTTTGACACTGTTAACCATAAGATACTTATAAAAAAACTAGAACTATATGGAACAAAGAATAAAAATTTACTTTGGCTTGAAGACTATCTAGCGAACAGTTCACAATGTATTATTTATAATAAAAAAAGAAAAAGAAAAACATATTACATGTGGTGTGCCCCAAGGTTCAATCTTAGGGCTATTATTATTTTTATTGTATATAAATGATTTATACTTAGCATCAAATATTTTAAATGTTATATTGTTTGCAGATGACTCCAATTTTTTTTATTCCAACAAAGATATAAAAGCTCTCTTTAATATATTAAATGAAGAACTATTCAAAATAAACGATTGGTTTACAAGCAATAGGCTTTCGTTAAATGTAGAAAAAACTAAATTTATTTTATTTCCAAACCTAGTAAAGGTGATGATGTTCCTTTAAAATTACCCAATCTCTTAATCAATAAAACGTTTATTAAAAGGGAACTAATTGTTAGTTTTCTAGGAGTAATAATAGATGAAAATTTGTCATGGAAACCACATATAAAATATATAGAAAATAAAATATCAAGAAATATTTATATATTATATAAAACTAAATCATATCTTAACACCTCTTCTCTAAAAAAAATATACTTTTCATTTATTCATAGTTTTATCTCTTACTGCAGTATTATATGGGGTAGTACTAACTATGGTAAGTTGAAAAAACTTCATAGTAAGCAAAAGTATGCATGCAGGATTATATTTGGTGCCCACAGAACTTTTCAATGTGAACCTCTTTTAAGGAAGCTCGGTGCCCTAAGTATCTATAAACTTAATATCCACCAAGTTCTACAATTCATGTTTAAAACTAAACATGAACTCTCTTCTATTGTATTTCAGTCTTACTTTAGTGAAATCTCGCACAAGTATCCTACTAAATTTTCAATTAATAACTTTATTGTTCCAAAAACTAATTCAAAACTAAATTCTTACAAAATCCAATACCGCGGACCGTTTCTATGGAAACACTTTTCAAAATTTATCACAAAAAATAATAATGTTCAACACATCTCTTTGGAAAATTTTAGAAAAGAATCTAAGAATCTCTTATTACAAAAAGACTTTCATTTAAAATATCTCTTTTAAAAATAATACACAAATAATATAAATTATCTAAAAAAAATAGTTATTGACACTACTTCTCTTTTGTTGCAATTTTAATCTAATTTAATTTTTTGTTGAAAAATTTTGATACTATTAAATTATTGTTAATCTTTGATATAATGCGTTATATTTCAACACTAATATTTATATTATGTTATATTGTAACTAACGTATTTAAAATTCTTGTTATGTACTTAGCTACTCTTCATTTTTTATATTAAAGTAAATTTTATGATGGGGTTTGATGATAAGACAATTTATATCTTCTGCTTGCTCCAGTTCTCTTATTAACACGATTTATTTCATTGTAAATTTTAATATATGACAAAACTCTTTGCTTAAAAAAAAAAAAATATTACTCTATATTCAACATCATCAAAAACTGCTTTGTTACATATATATTTTTTAATTTCAAATTTATTAACTTTATTTTTGTTTAGTATTGCTGTTCCATAATAATTAATTCAAAATTTAGCTTTCCTAAAGAAAAAATGAAAACTCCTCCTAGCAACTTATTCGAAGCATCCAAACGTACGAAGTCCACCAAGATTTCAAATGGCCGTAAGTCTACCAACTGTGTTTTGTACTTTAATACAAGTAACCTCAAAAGTCACAATTGTTGAACCATAAACATTGATAAACATTTTCTTCAGATGTTACCACCTATGGAGAGTTTAATAGCTGAATAATGTTGTGTTAAAACAGCAAAAATTAGGAATTTTTTTACTTAATGTTATGTGAAAGATACATTTTTGCAATAGTCTGAATTATCAACTTTATTTTTGTGACAATAGCACCAGATTTTCAATTTCCTCTTCTTCTAAATTTCCTCTTCTAAATTTCATATTTGAAGTATGACTTTAAATTTCAATTTCGCTTCTTGCATTCCTCTCCTAATTGCAATTTATTTATACTTATATTTTCATCTGACTTAATATTTATAATTTTACACATATTTAGAATGAATAAATATATATCTAAAAATAAATATACAAATAAATTGAGAATAAAGAATAAATTTATACCAAAAATAATTTGAAACTTTAACTATATGACGTTAAGAACAACTATATAAAACCTTAATTATTTAAAAAAGTCATCTCACAAGTACATTATGACTCAATCAAATATTATCTAAAATATAGAAATATTAGGTTACCATTTAAGTGCAATAAAATAATTTAAAAACTATGCAAAGAACTTATAAAGCTAAGTTTTTTGTTATTTGCTTATTTATCAAAACAGCAAATAAAATAAACCTTATTTACAAACCAAATTTATTTATTGCGATCTACTGACAAAAAATCCATTTCCTCAATATTGTCTTTAATAATTTCTAAAATATATTTAAAAAAAAACTATTTAATGGTTAAAACATCAAAAATACAAAATAAGAATTATTATTAAATATATTTTGTTTCTATTTTAAGTTTTAGTTAAATTTACCTAATTTCTTTTTAACCTTAAATACTTTTATTTTAGTTATTAATTATTAAATTTGCTGCAACGTATTATAGTAAAAATTTAAGGTTTTAAATATTGTAAACCTAACTTATAATCTTTTATAAATTAATTCGTGGTGAATAAATAACCTGGTAAAATTCTACTTTCATTGGAGCTGCTCAGATTTTTTGTCGGCCATAATTAATTAAAATTAGATTCATAATAATATTTACTTCACTCTAGTGATAAGCTTTTTTTATTAAATTTATTCATTTGTAGCAAAAGTTTAACGGTAACCGAAAAAAACCACTAACATATTGAGCAATGGGGATCGTCTGTTAACCTGCTCATAGCAGTGTCTTCTCACCCGGTGCATGTGTTGTCCGATGTAGTCCGAAGAGAAAATCGGCGAACCACAAAATGAAAGTAACGGATGATGACAGGTATAAAATATACTTGTGTTATTATTAAAATATTATTTTTTATTGTTTTAAAATAAATTATTTATACAAGCTATTTTCCTTACTATACTACAATAAAAAATTGGCTTAGTTTGTTTATAAATCATTACACTAAGTATAAAGCATAAATTGCCCAGTATTCTTTAACATTTTAAACATCGTTAGTAAAGAATTAAATGTGCTTGTTGTTGTTTGAAGTTTAAAATTTAATTTATTTAACTTCACCACTCTTAAGTTAAATTAAAGTAAACTGAGCGAATTTAAATAACTTTCTACCGACAGACAATCAAGTAGAAACATATTCTAACTTGAAAACTTCACACATTAATTATTGTTAATTAAAGTTTTTTGCGTTATACATTTAATCTATTATTAAACTGACTGAAATGTCTCGGATTTCCTTTTATTTATTATTTATTTTATTATTTGTTTATTTATGTATTTATTTATTTTTATTTATTTATTTATTTTTGAGAGAGACAATGCCTAAGACAAGATTTTCTTAATTTCATTTGTAATTTTATCTTCTGTAAATATCTGTAAATTACCCAGTTAACTTTTTTTTTTGACATCAATTTGTAATGTTATATAGGCTAATAAGCTTTTAACCTGAAAATTGAGTAAATGTTAAAAAAGTAAATGCAAATATACAGCTATAGAAAAAATATTCAAACAACAAAAACAAATAAATCTTGTTTGATATTATTGTTTAAAAATTGATTATTTTATAAAATTAACTATTTAATATATTATTTATGTTTTTAAGTAACAAATTCTCATTGACATAGATTATAGTTTGTTTAAATAGTGTATGGTGTAACAGGGTCGTAGGAATCAAAATTATATTGGGGAGGGGGGTAGTACTACCCCGAACTAGTTTCAAGGAGTATACTACCCCGAAATAGTTTTTTTTTTAGTCATTTTTTCAGTCAATATTTATTTGAAAAATTATTGGGGGGGGGGGGATGCACCTGCTGCTTACCCGGTTGCTATAAGCCTAGGTGTAATACCAGTTAGGGAAACATAGTTCAAATAAAAATTGATGCCCAAGCTTTTCCTGAATCTTAAGTATGTATTAAAAAAATAGGTCTTGTGATAAAGGATTTGCTTCTTAAAGTTGAAAAACTTACAGCTAGTTGTATTATTTTCTGTAAAATATGAAAGCAAAATGTTGTTCTAGTTAAAGCACCATTGTCAGTGGTTAATGGCTCCTTATTAGTCATTAGCATAGTTTTAAATAGGTACATAAAATTTTCTTAGTTTTAAATTTAGGTACATAAAATGGGTCTTCCCTAGAAATTATTTCCATCATATCATATCCTTAAATTTTTTCCCTTTATTTTAAGCAGTAGTAATAACTTACTGATTAAACATTCAGCATAATTCTTTGATTTCTAAATCCAAGGAATCTTTGAATATAAGTTTCATAAAATTCTGAAAATTTTAAAAAGATTGAGTATCTTGTGAACACATCAAAAAAATTAAACTTGGTTTATTAATAAAAAATTTGTAATTAGTAATAAAAAATTAAAATTGATTTTTACTTTTTAGATAAGTCTAAAGTCAATTAAAAAAAAGGGTAAAATGAAAATTCATTGACTTCTGATACGTTTGTAATTCATTGATATGTAGAATTAGATTTTTGTATGCAATAAAGCTAACAACTTTATAATACCATTTTGCAAGTAGTTCTTATGGCATAAACTAATAAATAATAATAACTAATAAAATATCTTGTCTTCTTTTCAATAATTGTTTACTGAACATACTACACTATAACATGCTAAGCTATTGACATGCTACACTATGGATATGCTACACTATGGACATGCTACACTATGGAAATGCTACACTATGGACATGCTACACTATGGATATGCTACACTATGGACATGCTACACTATGGACATGCTACACTATGGATGTGCTACACTATTCCAACTATTAATGCCATTACCATAACCGCAGATGATTTTCGCTACACCATATATGAACTCTCCTGTGTCATTTTATCTTCTAAAAATAACCAAAATTGCAGTGATTTTGAAGTTCGTACCTCTTGCTTATAATAAGTCTACCTCTACACAACTACTGTATATAAATATCTATTTAGTTCCTCTAGCTTAGTTGATTCATTACTTGATTTTAACTTGAATTCTAGTAATAAATTGCGAATACGATTTTGTTTATGCTATGATTTATCAATAGCTTAAATATGTTATTTTGCCTAAAATTTGTGTATATCCTAGTCATAAATAATAAGTTTTATGTTGGTGTTGTTTGAAAAGTTATGTTGGTGTCATAAATAAATTTTTTTTAATAATTATTTTGTTATGAAAATAGATAAATGTTCATAATATGTAATAATAGACACCTAAGAGTGCAGGAATAACAATATATATATATATATATATATATATATATATATATATATATATATATATATATATATATATATATATATATATATATATATATATATATATATTATATAATAATTATTTTGTTATGAAAATAGATAAATGTTCATAATATGTAATAATAGATACCTAAGAGTGCAGGAATAACAATATATATATAAATATATATATATATATATATATATATATATATATATATATATATATATATATATATATATATATATATATATATATATATATATATATATATGTATATATATATATATGCTTACATGCTAGAATCACCTTACTGTTATATATATATAATTTACACACCAAAACCACCCTACTTTTCCCTGACACACATTATAAGATACTTTCACTATTCCATTAAAAGTACTGTTTGCTTTGTTTATTGCCCGTTGAAGTTTGTAGAACATGTAGATTTTTCTAATGCATAATAATGGGTAAAGTTTTTTTAGCTTCATTTTCAAAAAATGATAATCAACTCTTTTTTCTTGTATTGTTTGTCTTATCTATTTCTAATGTCAACTGCCAGAGGGTATTAAGTGTAATTATAAATTTACAATCTTACATACAGAAAGAATTAATTTTGAGCTAAAAATTAAACTTTTGGTTAATAAATTTTCACGTCTTGCTATTTTAATTTCTATGAATCTATAAGTGCATATCAGTCCCTTTTAAAAGCATATCAGGGGGGAATAACAAAGTGATTACTAAATACATTGTAACTCTCTAGTACAAACATAAATAATTAAAAAAATGCAAATATTTGAATTAAAAAACTAGATATTGTCAAACATATAAGGAAAAAAATTTAAGTAATGTTTTGAACTTGTTGAAATTATTTTTACTGTTTACAAAATGTGTTAAAAATGCTTATAAAACATTTACGAAATGTTTAAAATGATCATTCCTATCCCCTCTTTAAATAAATAGGGTTGCATTTTTAGGTTTGGTTTGTGTAGTAAACTTGTTTAGTTGTTATTCTTGATAGTTCATCATTTTTTGTGACTGTGTAAGTAATACAGTTTTAAAATTTCTTTGTGAATTATCAAAATATAAAGTGGGACCACTTTTAAACTTTTTTTTATGATAATAAACCTAACCCTTCCCGGTGGGAAATCGGCTAGCAAATAGCTAGCTATAATTGTTACGATAAAGACAGCGATTCGGCCAGGAGGATTGCTAGCTTTTTTAAGTTAGCGAAAAGCTATCAATATTTGTAAAGATAAAGACAGCGATTTGGCTACGAGGACAGCTAGTTTAATAAGCTAAAGACTCACTGGCTATTGTAGCTACCGTCATATCGTAATAAAATCGCTTTCAAAAAAATTTTGGTATGTAGCTATCAACCAGCTATAGATTTGTAGATATTTTCTTGCGAGCTACAAAGCTACGATATGAAGCTAGCGACACATTGCTACAAAATCGCAATGTTTTAAGTATAATTATTCTCATAATTATAATTGACTCAACACTAAAAATCGAATTTTTAAAGATCTTAGAGACATTAGTAAAGAATAAAATAAGGAAAAAAAATCGCTTGAAAATTGCTATAAAGCTAGCTAGTCGCTAGCTCATTTCCCACCGGGTTATGGACATATTCTTTTCTTACAATCATAAATCTGTTTTTAAATATTACTATATCAGCCCTCGAATTTAGAAAAAATGAGGTCAGCAAAAAAAAATAACATTTTTTAATAACATTTATCCTACAACATCTGTAAATATAACAATTTATAACTACATCTGTCCAACAACATCTGTGATATAATAACATCTGTCCAATACACTGTGGTATAATAACATCTGTCCAACAACATCTGAAATTTCATTGATATGTAAAATGTATATAGTTACTACAGATGTAGTTACATCTTTTCAATTTTCTAAGTATAATAACATCTGTACAACTACATCTGGAGATTTTACAGATGTAGTAACATCTTTTCAATTGTGTGAAGAATAACTACATCTCTACAGCTACATCTCTACAACTACATCTCTACAACTACATCTGCGAATTCTACAGATCTAGTTCTATCTTTTCAATTATATCAAATATAACTACAGAATTTTATGAAAATAATAAATTATAATGCATTATATTAACCAGATGTAGTTTCATATATAGTTTTTTCCAGAAGTAGTTACATCTGAAGTAAATTCTTACAGATGTTATTAGATTTAGAGAAAAATTACCAGATGTAGTTACATCTTCCTAAAGATGTTGTTAGTGATCACTGAATTTCCAGATGATATTGAACAGATGTTGTTAGAGTAAAAAAAAAAATACAGATGATCTCGGATTAAAGTGTACTGATGATCTCGGACTACTCTACAGATGTTGTTGGAGAAATGTAGTAATCTTTTACCATATTATTATATTATAATTATTTTAATTGTCTTTAGCGAGTTAAGTATTTCAAAGCCAAAGTTTACAGTAATACGGGAGATATATGAGAAAGATTACAATACGTCAGAGTTTCTAGAAGAACAGTTAGAAAGAGCTCTTGAATCTAAAGTCCAACATATTATTATTGAACCGGTATCTATTGGCGATGAAACAACTAAATGGATTCAAGTAGGGAATTTTCTGCATAAAACCTCTGTTTTAACAGGCATCAGTTTTCTTATAACTCCACTAGTCTTTTCTGTGAGATTACAACCTTATGTCCTTATTCCATTATCCAGCGTCAACATCCTTTGTACAACTTTATACGATCTTAGTTGGCAGTTTGATCCCTGCTGTAAATACCAAATTGAATTAAATGCAAGAAAAATTGAACAGTTGCAATCACAAACTCTTTCATCTGCAACACCGTTGATATTGGTGTATAAGGATGACAAGTATAGGAAACGATTACACAATATATTATCCTGTTGCATTTTAGCAACGATTAGTTGGAAGTTGTATCGAATATTTTATAAGTTGTAAATGATTTTTTTTCTTCTTAAGTTTTAGAAATTTATGTTTAACTTTATTGATTAGTTTTCAACTCTATTGATTTGTTTTTAACTTGCTTGATTTTAAAATTATTTAAAATCATTTATTTGTTTAAAAGCTGTTTTTTTATTGCTATATATAAGTTTTCTTAAAAAAACAACAACAAAAAGTTTAAATCGAAAAAAAAGTTTATATAAATTAGATTTAGGTATACAGTGAAATCTGGTCATGTTAATCTCTTTATGACTCGTTACAGTCTCGTTATATTAAGGAGACCATATCAGTTTGAAAGGTTCGAAAAATAAGTTAAAATTCCCCTTAATTTTTACAAAAAATAAAAACAAAATTTTTCAGTGTAAACAGGTTTTAAAAATCACCAACCAAGTAAATTCCGATTTATCTAAAATGAGTTTTTAATTTATTTATCATCAAAGTTAAAATTTATTAAATCTCCTATTGAAATTATAAAACGGCTGTTAGAAAATGCGTTTGACAAGCCACGCTAAATTTAAACAGTTTTATGTTTTGTAAAAAATATTAGTATTGATTTATAAACTGAAATTTTTTATAAAAAATAGTTATATTTAACATAAAAAAATTCCTCCTTCCCCTTTTATTGAAACCCCCATGTTTATTATATCTGGATTAAAATCCCCCCCCCCCTCTCCTCCTTGTATTAAGGACTCGAGAGTAATGAAAAAATGAGCGTAACTTAAAATAGTTAAAAATTATTTGAAAAACAAAGTTTAATAATTATTTATATAATTTATTATAATATTTATAGTAATTACTTTATTTCAAAAGAATTAATTGACAAATTTTCTTTCATTTATAAATAAATTACAAACCAGTATATAATGAACTGTTGATAAAATTAACCCTTTATTGTTCACTATATGAAGACATGGAGTAAAAAAATATTCCTTTAGCAAAAAACATAATTTTATATCATTAATTGCAAATTCAAATATTTTTTTTTTGCTACCATCAGCAGTTTTCAAATTGCAAATGACCGCCATTTGGCGGTTATGAACCGTTAAGGAAAAATATATATATATTTAAATAAAAACACTTTAAACTAATCATTATAATTACTTTACTTAAAAAGAATTTCAAATTTGAAAAAAAAAAGAAAACAATTCTTTTTTTTATTTAAACATGAACAACTATTGCATTTTTTGCAAAAAACTCTGCTTTTTCCAAACTTACATAAGCGACAATTAAGTTTCTTCTCGCGATGTTCAGGCCAATGATTTGAACAATCAAGCTAAATATCTCTATTTGGTAAAGGAAATTAATTTTTTCGCTTTTATAGTGTCACTTCCTTAGATAATATTCTTTTAGACTGTGTGCCAACTGCCGCAAAGGGTTCCTCCGCAGAAGACAAGCTAGATGCAATTTGTGTCGTAAACTGAAGTTATGTCAGCTGTTTTTGTTCAGAAATATTTTATTGATTGCAATGACGCCTATATATCAACCATCAATAAATAAACCACCAAACAAAATTTAGAAACTTTATTTAAATTAAAGTTTATTTATCAACAATAAATTTGGTAAAAACTATTTTATTACTACTTTTCGTTGTAATTATATTTTCAATATGTTTTATCATAAAAATCACAAACTAATGAAGAACTTTTTTTTTTAAATATTTGATAATAACTATATGTTTCTTTAATATTAGTTAGGTTTTACTGATGTAATAGTAATATGTTTTTTAATATGTAATATCAGTAAGAGTTAAACTATAACACTGTTATGGTTTGAACCAAAAACGAATCGCTGTAGTTCATAACAGCCAATTGGCGGAATCAAAATAACTGATTAGATATTGATCACATAAACAAACATTACAAAGTTGGTTGCATGCAAATAATTAAATTCTAGACTTCAACTAATAAATAAACTAAAAACATTTATATTAAAATCAGTAAAACCAAGTATACAGGTTATTCGAAAACATGTGACTTTTTAATGTAAAAACATAATAACTTTATCGTCGTATTTTATAATATCCATAGTTCAGTTTCGCATAAATTTATTACAAAAAGATTCTAGTAGGTTAGGATTTTTTGAAGATATTTTCCAAATCTATCAAAATTCAAATAAAACTTTTCTGATTTGGATTTAAAAAAGAATGCCATTTGGCGGTTCTATCCAATAAAAGGTTAAAACTTTATGACAGTCGGCAAATGAGACGAATAGTTAAAAAGGATCATTCTAGTTACAGATAGTAGACAATGAACACCATAAAGACCATGAAATCATTTTCATGAGGATTAGTTTCTTTGTACACGTATTCCACATACGTGTACAAAGAAACTAATCCTCATAAAAATGATTACATGGTTTTTATGATGTTCATTGTCTACTATCTGTAACTAGAATGATCCTTTTTAACTATCGTAAACTTAGTTTGATCATTCATTTTTGAATTCATCAATTCATCAATTCATTTTTGAAGTTAACATATTTTGGAGAGTTTGTAGGTTAGTAATAAAAAGAGTCATTAGCAACGACCCTAACATTATCCCCTTTTTAACATTTTGTGTTATATTAAATTTTAATTTAAAAGTTGCATTACATGGCCTATTATTGTTGTTTTTTTTAATCATAAACTCGCATTTTTAAATACTATTTTAATATTTTACTATTTTAATATTTTTAAATACTATTTTATTACGCCAGCTTGGTTAGCATGTAAATTCTTTTTTTTTTCTAAAAAAATGTATTTACGGAGAGACTCAAAGTTGTAATAAGGGCTTAATAACAAAATACGTTCTTGATGTCCTAAAAATAGTTTTATTACAATATATTTTTGTTGGAGTAGGTGTTAGTTAAACAATTGTTTACTTCAATGATAAGAAACTTCATCACAAAAAGTTTATTAATCTTGTTTGTTTTAGATCTTTTATCTATTACTTTTTTATTTTTCTTGTATTCTCAGACTTTTATTTTAACGGCACTTAGCTTGACTTGAAACATGGTATCTTAAGATTGGTTCTAATATTATACTGCAAATTTTAAATATACCCAGATGAAGAGAACGAATGCCTGCATTTTTCGATTTATATTGTTTTTTTGTTTTGTTTTTTGTTATTTTAATGTTTTGCCATAGGTTTACCCCTTAAAAAAAAAAAATCATAGCTAAAGTTTCATAGCTAAAACTTGGTTGTGTTGCGAAGGTAAAAACTGTGTTGCAAGTGTAGATGAAAAAAACTCAACTTTAATGTTATTTTGCTTTTTTATAAAAGATTAATGACATTTACGCTGTAAGAAATATATAGATTAAATTAATAAGTAGCCATTTAAAGAAGTATTTTTATTTTACCTAAATATGATTTTTTTTTTGTGATTTTTTAACTTAAAATATAACTTATAACTATTTCTTTTGCAAAAATCTTGTAGCCATTATTTATCAGCTGTTTTATTTTAATGATTTGCTAAAGCATACTCATATGCAAAGAATCTTATTTGCATTAATTTATACGCGTAATGCGTATTTGCAGTGTGCCAAGCATTTTACTAAAATTAATTCTTCCTTTAAAACTCCTTGGCAATTTAGGACTTCGTTATAGCTGTGCAAAAATCTTGTACAGCTGTATAAACAACTTTATTATCAAGTTATAACATCCAAAATATAAAATACAAGTTTGGCTTTGTTAGTCAATATTCAAAGACTAGTTTTCAATTACAACGCAAATATTTTTTATATACACTTTTTAAAACTTTCAAAACACCAGTAATAAAGTAATATAATGAACATTCAATTAATTGTTACAAGCGTGGGCATGTCATATACAGCTGTCTGTTCTTGCAATAATTTTTACAAATCTTGTCACTCAAAATTTGCAAAAATCGAGGCGCAATATGGATCGATCAAAGGTACATCGTCCTAGACTGGTTTAAGATAGACGAAACAGGTTTCAGATATTACAGTTTCTTGAGACAATACCTGACAAAAGCTAGAATGCTCAAATTTAAATGATGTTGTAACTATTGTTTTTAATGATATTAAAAAATGTAGGGGAGGGGGGGGGGAATTTGATACGGGGACAAATTGATACAAAGCTAATAAAAAGCTATTACACTAATTGTGCGAATAAGATTTGGTACGAGAAATAGCTTTTTAGTTCCCTAACGTCCGATGTAAAAAGATTTCCGCTCATTTCAAAGTTGATCAAGCTGGGAAGCATTTTGTAAATCGAGAAACTTTTAAAAAAAACTGACAACGTGTTTCCAAAGAGATTTTACAAAAAAGGTATGTACATTTAGCTCATCAACCCGTAAGTTTAACCCATAAGTTTAAGAAAACACTGCTAAATGATTTTGCATATATCATTTGTTTTTTCGTTGCTTCTGGTAAAATTTAACTTGAATTTAATGCAACGCGGTCTTAAGGGGCACTTTAATACAGATCGCTTGGATCAAATTGATACTGTATCATTGATACAGTATCATCTTACCCCTTTGGTAAAGCATTTGAATACGGCCGAAAATTATTTTGCTTATGTATTTGTCTTAATGCAATGAAATTGTTTGGTGTAGACTAATGTTTTTTTTTTTTCGCAGAGATAGTAAATAGATAAATAGGCCTAATAAAATAGTGTTAGGCCTACGGCTTAATTATTATTAATACCACTATTTAAATCAATAATAATGTATAATAGTGACTAAAAAGTTTATTAGCCAAGTTATGGCTAGGGCGGCTAGGGGAATTATAGGGTTTTGCTAGGTCTTGCCTTGGATCTATTAATATTATGGCACACATTTTTAGGCAATAATATTACTTTTCATCATGCCATCAATGACTTTTTTATGTTACTTATCATTTTGTATAGGCTAAACAAAAAGCATACTACTATTACCATAAAATCTAAAATATAAGCCTCTCTTGTAATATATAGGCCTATATAAAAACAGCAATTTAACTTTGGAAGGCAAAAAGCCTTGCCTTAGGACACGCATGTCCTCCAATGTTCATATTTTCTAGGGTCAGGTAAAGTAAACGAATGGTAGATGGAGGTCCCCCCGGCTCTGTTGGAGCATATATTTCTGGCTGGATGACAAGGGAGAATTTTTTTCTGTTTTTGAAACATTTTGTGAAACATTGTAAACCAACAGTTGATGACATGGACAATCATGAATCTCATGTATCTCTTGAATCTATTCAATATGCCAAGGAAAATGGTATTCATATGCTTTCATTCCATTCTCATTATTCGCACAGACTGCAGCCTTTGGATCGATCAGTGTTTTTTTCACAAAAGAGACATTATAATGTTCAGTGCAATGCATGGCTAAGTAGCCATCCCGGGCGGCCAAATCAGCCTCTTTACATTCCTGCTGTATGTTGTTATGCATTTAAGCTTGTCATATCACCTGCTAATATACAGACATGCTTAAAATCTACGGTGATTTTTCCTTTCAATCCTTTTTGAATTGACGCTATCCTGTTTCTACCCTCGTCTGTAAGTGATAGACCAGATCCTGCAGTTTCTGGAGGTGTTGATTCTGCTTTGAACATGGAGGATTGCTACTTCTGAAAACAATGGTCATCTTCAAGAATACGTCTCAATGAACTTAGCTTCATTTGAATTTCAACCGTAGATAGCAGCTCTTTCAGATTTATTAGCAATATGTAAGGAATGTTCAGTCGCTTCCACATCTGCAGGAACTACTTTGTGTGTCAATAGTCAAGCTATAGCCTCGCCCTATGAGGTACGGACACTTCCTAATGCCGGACCACGCAGCCAGAGTAAACGCGGGAGAAAACAGGGCAAAACAAGACCTCTGGGTTCTGAGCCAGAACTCTAACCACTGCGCCAAGGCTGCTCAAGTTTGTTTACTTTATCTTTTGTATTTGTCTACCTAATCTTTTGTGTTTGTTTACCTAATTTTTTGTGTTTGATTACTTAATTAGTTTTTTAAAGCTTTATTTTAAAGTCTTATTAAATGTATTAACTTGCCCAATGGTGTGCATCAACTTGCCCCAGCATGGAGCAGGTTGATACACAAATATTTACCTTACTTTTTGTGCTGAATTTATTTTAATTATGTTCTAATCAATAAAATTGTGGTACTAAAATATGCTGGATACTTAGTAGAACATATACAAGTTATTATTTCCAATCTAAATATAATATTAAGCTTTTAATATCAGAAAATGTAAAAAGTAGATCAACGTGCCTCTCCCTATTAAGTACCGTATCAAATCTAAAGTATGCCACCAATGTGATCAATGAGAAGAAAAAAAGACACAAATGAATACTGTGAGTTTCTTTATACAAACGAATGTAGCACTAACCATAATGGTTCATCAAGCACAATGGAGGCAGCTGGAGTTGCTCAATGTCTTTCATTATCAGAGTCAGACAGAAACTTTTATTTTCTTACTTTTAAGTCATAAAAAACATTTCTAAAGCTAATATACAGTGAACTTTCGATATCTCGAACCTCCAAGGGACCTAGAAAAAATAGTTCGAGTTATTGGGACATTCTATTAAACGAACTATTGCGGATAAGTAAAAACAATTCGAGTTATCAAAAGTTTTATCGAAAATTTTTTCTTTTTTTCTTTTTTTTAATCCATGTTGACTGCGTATGTTTTTATGCCATATTCCATGGCAACCTGACATTTTGACAATCCTTCATCAATTTCCCTTAAAGCAGCGTACTTTTCTTTAATCGATTTTGTGTTCATTTTTTTCTTTACAGCGACAATAGCCATATTAAAATGTAAGCACAACAAATTTACAATATACACTAAACTATTATAATCGTTTACAAACTTTACTTAAATTAATGCGCTGAAGTTAATTTATATAAGAATTTTTTGGCACCCTCCAACGTTTAAACCCAGCCAGTGGAAATGCTGTGCAAGGATATCTTTGCGATTTCTTTTTATATTTTTGTTCTAAAGTTCGAGTTATCGGAAAAATATTAGCCAAGGGAACAGATAAAATGGTTCGAGTTATTTTTAAGTGAAATAATTAGTGAGGGTTTAAGGGGAACTTAAAAGTGGTTCGATTTACTGGAAGTTCGAGTTATCGGGATTTCACTGTAGATTTAAAAGTCTGTTTTGCAAAAAAAAAAATACTGAGGTAATGCAATTCGTGATTAATTGGTTCAAGTTTTATTTTTAATAGCTTTTGTTTTCTCAAAATAAAGTTTTTAAAAACGGTACGATAAGTAACTGTTTTTAAATAAATGCAATTAGCCGGTTTGGTAAATTGGTAACTAATATTGGTGCGATGATTCTGTTACATATAATCTATTGGCTGAATTGAGATTTTAATTTTATTATCTCGGTTCTTTAGTTATTTGGGCTAAAAATCTATATTTTGGGTCAAAAACAAAAAATTTAAACTTCTTGGTAGATGCAAACCTTGGGTTTTTTATATTGCAGCCAAATAATTAGTTTATTGATAAAAACATTCTAGAATTTCAAGGTAAAATACTACCTTATATAAAGGTAGTAAAATACTACCTTATATAAATTCTAGTAAAACATTTTAAAAACAGCAAGATATTGCGATTATTTTTTAATATTTTGGTAAAACATTCGACATTTGAACAAATGACTTTAGTTTGCACTTACATGTTACTAAAATCGAAAGAGTCCACACATATATTATATATTTAAATGAAAATTTATATATACATGTATTTATATTAAAGTCCGTTTGCACGAAGAGGACTTTTCACTTTTATTTTTCTTATAAAGTTTAGTATAAAAATTTAATATAAAAATTTACATATAAAAAAAAACCAACTTCAGGCCTCAACAACTTCTAAAATAATTGCGTAGGTTTAAACAAAAGCTTTGTGTGCATATATATATATATATATATATATATATATATATATATATATATATATATATATATATATATATATATATATATATATATATATATATATATATGCACACTAAAACACCATACGTTGTTAAAAACGGTTAAATAATTTATGAAATAAAATCATCTAATAATTTATTCAAATTTATTTCTTTTAATTAAACGAAGTGTTTCACAGGTCAATTTATCTTGCCCAAAAACACTATAAGATATAAGTCCGATAGAACTTGAGTAGAGATAGAACTTGATTAGAGCATTCTTTTTTTTTAAATACTTTTAAAAAAATCCTAATTTGTTTCCATACAACATTTTCAACAACTGTTTTTATGTCCAACAAAAATAGTTGTTGAAAACAATTTTCAAAATGAGAATTCAATTTATGTTAATATTATAAAAGACAAACATAAAATAACCAAGATTTTTTTATGTGACAATATAAAAAATAAATTAACTCAAATTTTCTTGATTCTTTTTGTTTTCATAAAGCTGCTCTACTTCCTTGTAATATTCTTCAAGAGGTACTTTAAACCTATAGACAGATCCTTCTTCGGCTACACCCCAATCTAAACGTAAAATAGAAACAATACAGGGTTATGCAGAAGTATAAATTTAATTATGCGGAAATATAAACTAAAAAATGGGGAAATAGAAATAATAACTTAATTTATATTTTTTCATAACTCTGTAAACAAAGTAAAGTTTTCGCTTTAGAAATTTGACAATAACTTAAAATGGTAGTAAATTATTGAATTATTTTTGACGTTGATTTTTTCTAAACTAAATTGACTTACTGTGAAAGTTACTTACTCAGTTTGAAAGTTACTTACTCATCGTGAAAGTTACTTACCCAGTGTTCGCCATGCAACCTAGTCTTTGCCACTTGATCATTAAATGAATCTTGTGTCTTTAATTTTAAAGATATGATTTTCAAACTTTCGCCTGTTACAAAGAGATGATTGCTTTGTCTCTGACGAATGTTTGACTATCCTAACTTTAAAATTAAAGCTACAGGATTCATTTAAAGATCAAGTGGCGAAGAAAGTCGCGTGGCGAACACTGGGCGTTTTACCCTATGCAAATTTAGTAACTATACACCACTCAGTTTTTACCTTTTTTCTTCCACGCTTGGAAAGCGTTCCAATAATCAAGAACTTGCTTTTTACAGTTTACACGAAAGTTTTCTTGTTCTTTTAAATAACAGGTTGCCAAACGACTTTTGTAAACAACGACCATTTGCTGTTCCACTATGCGCTCTAAAACCTGTAAAGAAAAATAGACATAGTAAATTTTATTTATATTCTTCTTATTTCTTTGAAGTGTATTAAAAATAAAGTTAATTCAAAATTCAAAAAAGTAAGTTCAAATTATTTCTTGAAATTTTGATTTGTTATGTATATTCAAAGTAAAGTTTAATTAAAAACTGTTATAAAGAGATGTTTCAACTGTTTTGAAAATCATTTTTAAATGCTTAATTAATTTTTTATTTTATCTTTATTTTACCATTTTATTATATCTTTTTGAAAGACTTATTTTATTTGAGACTTTGACAGCAGTTTTTACAACACTTGAAATAATCAAATAAATATATTATCAAATAAAAATATTATCAAAAAAAAATCATCTGTTCAATTATTTTTTGATAATTTTAACAAATAGTTTACAACCCCAAAAAGAAGATGAGGTTTCTTCGGTAGGATTAGTTTTAAAATGAATGAGTTTAGAGGATCAGAAATGTTTAACTCATAGAAAACATTTCCAAATACTTTTTTTTGAGGACACTGTTTTTAATTCCAAACATCTTTAAAGCTTGATAATATCTCATAAGAAAATAGTCTGCAAAGAAAACCACAACTAAATAGGTGTTTGAAGTTAACTTTGCCAAGTGCAGGAATGCAATCTAACATGACATTAGAAACAAATAAAATGTTGGATAACTTAAATAAAATGACAAAAAACAAAAAATTCAGGCTAAACCATAGGCTATATTGCCCAGACAGCATCATAACTTTCTGCAAGACTTTCTGAAAAGAGCAACTAATCACTAGTATCACCACTATGCTGCTATTTATTGAAATTATTTTGATCTGTTTTCTCTGTGGCAAGCAAACATTTTCTGGGTGTTGAACAAACATTTTCTCTGTAATGCAACATTATAGAAAAGATGAAGAACTCCCAAATCAGATTTTACAATTAAAAAAAATATAAAATACAAAAAATACAAGATTTTGCTGTAATGAATGTTCTTTATATGATAGATTCTTATTTGTCAATATTTAAAGTCAGCATTTTGATATTTCATTTTCAAAAATATTTGGTAAATAGGATTAAATTTAAAATGCAAAAAAAAAAGTTATAACATTTTTTTTATCTAACATCGTTTACATGACGTTTATTGAGAAAATATCAAGCCATAAAAAAAAGCATTTAAAGCCAACTGTGATTTTTTTTGTTTTTTTGGACTACAAAATTTCCTCTTTTCCATTCTCTTTCATTTGAGAATCATCTCGTATTATTTAAACCAACAATCTTGTATTGTTTGATAACATAAAACATTTAAAAATTACAATTTTTAAGAATTACTAAAAATTGCCTTAGCAACAAAACAAAAACCCTGATTTAACCTCTTAAGTCTATGTTAAAGTGGCTTAAACAAATTAATATATACTACCAAAACCAATACCAGTATGAATTAAAAATCTGCTAGTGCCAATTTTAAATAAAAGACAATTAACTACTATTGAAATGTTTCCATGGTAGGACACAAAATCTGAATGCCATCATATGGTTCGGAGTTGTAAAGAGCACTTTTGTCAGAAGAGAAATAGTTGAAATAGAAAACTACTCTGCTGTTATTAATTTTAATGATAGGATTAATGGTACTTTGAATGCTTTAAACTTTGGCTGAGCAGTGGCGGATCAAGGGGGACGGGGGGGGGGGAAGGGGAAGGAGAAGCTATAGCCCCAGGCCCCGCAAATTTAGGGGCCCCCAAAAATTTTAGTGGACTTTTTTTATTTTAAAAAAAAAGTAATTTTTAGGCCTCTGGCCCAATCAAAAATCAAAAATACCCCCGGGCCCCAAAAAATCTTAATCCGCCACTGTTTTTTAAATTTTAAATAAAAAGTTTTTATAATGACAAAGGAAGCCTTAGAACTTACCCAAGCTCTGTGTGCTGCATGCCATTGTAAAGGATCCCGTCGCTCTATTTCATCAAAGCTTGGACCATACCTAGATTTTGGTGCTGGCTTTGGAGTCAAATTATTGGTTTCACTCATTACTGCTAACAAATGTTATAACCGAAAATAAATATGAATTAAATGTTATCATGTCACTGTTTACAAAAATTATTTGTTGTTCATTTTATTATCTTATTTCTAGCATCTTCATCAATTTTATAGAAAAATCTCTGTTCTGTTAAAAAATATTACTATATGAAATACAACTCATCAACTTAAAAAAATATTTTTTGTCTTAAGAGAATTTTAAAAGTTATATGAATATAAACTTTGATAACCAAAATATATTTAGTTTAAAAAAACCAAGAAAAATATCATTAAAATTTAAACATAAACATCCAGCCATTTTACCACTATTATTATATAGGTGAAAATTATAACAAAACTTTATAAAACAGGAAGAAATCGTATATATAAAAAAATAATCCAAATTTATAATATTCTTATTTGAGCAGACTAGCAACAGTTTTTATATATTTCTATGTAAATTGATTTGCGACATAAATTATAAATATGTAATCATTAAATATAGCACCTTATTCACATCTTAAATCATAATATGTATAGCCTAATATGTATGCATGGGATAAAAAAGCACATAAAATTACAACCCTACTACTTTTATAATAGTAAAAAAAAAAAAAAACCAACAAAAAAACGACGGTATGAAGATACTAAATAAATAGGTAACTAAGAACCTTTGACAATTTAAAACATTTTGCGGTTAAAAAAGCTATCATTTATTTGCGCTGCCAGCCAATCAAAGCCTTCAAATAAACCTTCACCTTTAGTTGCAATAGTAGGTTGAATAAACCATTTATGTGTTGCTATATCTGCAAGTCCTAATAAACTTTTTACATCGTTCACATTACTTGCTCCAATAACATCTTGTTTGTTTGCAAATACTAATACATAAGCGTTTTTTAAGTCTTCTTCTTGCAGCAACCTATGAAGTTCATTTTTGGCTTCGTTCATTCGATGCTTATCAGAGCTGTCCACAACAAATATAAGACCAGTAGATCCCTTTAGGTAAACACGCCAGAGGTTTCGTATTTTATCCTAAAAATTAAAACAAAAAATTTATACTTAACTATTCTAAATTATTTTAGTGTTGCTCATGAACTATTATTTAGGGCATACAAGAATTGTATTAAAGAAAGGATTTCATATTTTAAGGTAAGTTCAAGGCAAAATTTTCTACTGCCTTTATTAGCTTGACATGATTTGACAAACAAACTGGGGTGTAATATTCTAATATAGACCTAATATATTACAAGACACTAAGATCACAAGACCTAAGGCAAAAATAATTTATTGACTTGGCTAATCATTAAATTAATTTATTCAAATTCCAGCAGCAACAACCTTGAAACCCCAGCAAACCCCTATTTCAGGATGATATTGTAACATAGTAATAATCTAATTAAAAATTTAGTTTTAAATTTTGAAAGTTTTTAGATAAATTCCTCTGCAATCAATAATCTAAGACTTTATATAATAAGTTTTTGATGGAGCTAACAAATTCTTTAGATTGGAAACTGTTTCTGTTCCTCATTCTTTGTCAGTGTGTTACTGTAATTTTCAATAAGACTGACTGCCCTTTCAGTTACATCATTTACAATTAATTACATTTAACTTCTCTAAATTTTTTTTTAATGTTAATTCACCTCCCTAAGGCCAAGGAGGCCACTACAGTCAAGGAGGTTACTTTAGTTGTGGTTACAACCCTCTCTCAACTCTAGAACTTTGAAACCCGAATCTTGATGAACAAGGTTGCTGTGCGGAGAAACAATTTGAGTACTACCAGTGCGTATTGTGCAACCCACAATTCAAATTTAGGTATAAATAATGCTATCAATGGTGTGGCAGATATTAGTATACAAAAAATATTTAAATTTTTTGATACTAGTGATAATAGTTATGGACTTAGAGGTTTTCCACAAATTATATCACATATTAAAAGAGGGAGGGGGGGGGAGGATGTTACAGACCTATTCTAGAAAAATAATTTAAGCAACAGTATGCCTCTGCCACACTTTTTACACCTCATTAAAAAGTTAAAGACAGAAGGAGAGAGGGTACAAGAGTTTTGTGCGCAAAAATTTAAAACTTATTTTATAAAATGTGCAAAAAGCAACAATTCAGGTCTTCTGAGAAAACGCTTGCTGTTGAAGGCCTTGACCACACATATAACATTTTGTTTTGACAACTTGTCCAAAGGCAACCCTCTTTACTTGTTTTGATTATGTTGCGTGTTTTAAAAATGCATCGAAAATTGAAAAATTGAAAAGAATTGAAAAAAAAGAAAACACTAAAACTGAAAAATGATACAAAAAAGAATAAGAAAATAATTAACCTAGAAAAAATAAAGTCACAAAAATAATATCTTTTAATTTAAAAGTGTTTCACTTGATGAAGCCCACAGTGAAAATATAATTTGCATGCAAAAAATAGTTCAACATTTTAGGCTGTCAGCTCAATATCTAGTGTAGGTTAAAATCCTTTCAATGAAACAATTTTTTTTTTGATGTTTTATTCACTTAATAAATATTAGAAAGTACCATAGTTATGAAGTTTTTAAATAATTAAGTTGGTTTTAAATAACCTTGAAACTTTGATCTTTTCTAAAGTCTATTAAATTGCTTTTAAAAAAATTAATTATATATACAGTGCTGGCCAAAAAGATCCGACCACGCATTGTTTATCTATGTATACAGTATGTACATTGTAGTGTAGGCGCTTTCCTCGGAATTTCACCATCACGCTTTGCATGCGTGATTGGCTAGTTATCAGCCAATCAAAACAGTTGTACCATTGTTATATATACCATCGCATGCGTAGCTGTGAATTACTATTTGCATTTGACTATGGCGACAACATCACCTGGAAAACGTGCTAAAATACAACTTTTGATGGAAGACGGGAAGTCTGAACGTGCGATTGCCGCACGTTTACAAATGCCTAAGACAACTGTTCACGACGTCATTCAGCACATCAAGTCAACAGGCACCAGCGCTGCAGGAAGATCCAGTGGCAGACCGAGATGTACCACATCAAAAACTGACGCTATGATCCGCCGTGCAGCCACGAAGGACCCACTGGCATCATCTTCACAAATTCTCAATGAACTGCCTCCTGATGTGAATGTGAGCTCTCGCACCATTCGGCGACGTCTTGTGGACGATTTCAGTCTTCGATCGTATCGCGCTGCATTAAAACCACGACTATCTCAGAAAAATATTCGTGACCGCCTCAAATTTTGTAAAGCACATAAAAATTGGACCGTGGCAATGTGGCGACGTGTCATGTTCTCAGACGAATCGCAGGTGAAACAATTTGCTACGCATAAAGTGAATGTTCGACGGCCACCAAACACACGCTACAATGCCCGATATGTTGCTCCAGCGGTAAAACATTGCCCTGCAATTATGATTTGGGGAGCAATTACTGCCAGAGGTCGAGCGGGAATCTATCTCATGCCGCCAGGTGAAACTATCAAAGCTGTTAATTATTTGCAAATAATAAAGGAAAATGTTCCTATTTGGCTCAGAACTCGCAACTGTGACATCTTTATGCATGACGGCGCGCCATGTCATCAGGCAAAGATCGTCAAGACATGGTTTCAAGAGAATTCCATCAATGTTCTTGCTCCGTGGCCTGGCTCGTCACCGGATTTAAACCCGATTGAAAATTGCTGGGTAAAATTGAAAGCAGAAGTGGCAAAAGCAAACTCGACGTCTGCGACAACTTTGAAGGAGGCTATACTGGAGGCGTGGTCCCAAAAAATAACGCCTGATTACTGTGACTCTCTTGTTGCCTCTATGCCTCGAAGAATAGAAGCTGTCCTCAAAGCCGGAGGAAGACATTCGAGGTACTAGAAACTCTTTTCTGATGTGAACTACTTGTTGGTTTCTTCGAAAGTGTGTCATTGACTTATGTGAATGTTGTTTGTTGCGTTTAATTCAATCATATTATCATTAAATTGAAGTGGTATTACGTTTCTGTCTAAAAACCTTAGTGGTCGGATCTTTTTGGCCAGCACTGTATATATATATATATATATATATATATATATATATATATATATATATATATATATAGTTTTATTTTTTCAAGTTTATCTTTTATTTTATTTTCTCATTAGTTAAGATTTATTTTCTGTTTTTATTCTATTTTTTATTATATATTTTTATTTTATATTAAATTTTCACTTCAATTTTGTTTTTCAACGTTATTTAAAACACTTACATTGCCAAAAATAGCTGCGGTCAAGTTGTCAAAACAAAATTTTGTATGCATGGTTAGGCAAGGCATGCAATAACTGCAGTCAAGTTGTCATAACAAAATGTTGTATGCATGGTCAAGCATGGCATGCGCCCACATAGTTTTCATTGCTGACCTTTACTTCATTTTTTTAGATTAGGCTTAATTGCGTATAAAGGGAGACATTTTTTAAAATATTAACTGTGTTTAAAGGGTTAAAGTTAAAAGTCTTAGTTAAGAAAAATTAGAAAAATCTTAGTTCAATTTCTAATAAAATGTCTCCACAACCTTTTCCATTTGAACTTAAAAAAGCAATTAGCAGCAATAAAGAAAAATTGACTGCACATTAGTTTTTAAGATTTTTTATTAAAGGTCAACTGAAATATATATATATATATATATATATATATATATATATATATATATATATATATATATATATATATATATATATATATATATATATATATATATTCAAAATACATCCTAATTGTTTGTAAAAACTTGTGTTGGTAAAAACACAAGTTTTTACAAACAATTAGGATGTATTTTGAAAATAATAAATATTCATAATATTTAAGATATTTTAGACTTGAATATTTTAAAAAAATTGTCTAAAAAATTTCAATTGTTTATGACATATTTTTAATTCACTTCATTGACACGTATTAAATATGACACAAGTTATATCAATGGTTGATTTATATACTTGATTAAAGTTGTTATTTTATTATTTTCTGCTGTCAATTAAAACAAGTTTTTTAAAAAAACTTTTTTTTATTAAATTTTTTTAAAAAAAATCTCATAATATTTTGCCACCAGTTGTGAAGTCATTGCAATGAATGGACATTATTAACTTGTTTAGCAATTATAAACTATAATTATCATTATTTTTCATTTGAGTTATCAAGTAACTGATCAGCATTAGTAATTTTAATCTGGGATTTTATAAAATGGTGGTCTTCTAGTAATTAATATTCAGCTTCAAATATTATTATTATTTTTTTTTTTTGTGCAAGATTAAACTTCTCAATCAAAAACGTCTTTGCGCATTAGGGGGTCATAAATTAAAAAATTCATTTTAAATTAAAATTTTCTCAAATTTAATTAATAATTTTATAAAAGTTTAATTATATAAAAAATCTAACAACTTAATTAAAAATTAAATCTAAAATATTAGACATCTAAAATGATGTTACAAAAGTAAACAATACTTTTTAAAAAAATTTTTTTTTCTGCGCATATGAACTGTTTCAGTTTAACATTATTTCAACCAACCAATTGGAGCATTAGTCATTTACAGTAAAACTTTGTTGCGAAGTTTTGTTAAAAAAAAACATTGATTTGATTTTAAATTATGTCAACAGTAGTACCTTTGTAGCACTGGAAAAAAATTTTCAATTGACTGGCCAATAAAAAGGGTTGACCATTTTATGTGTTAAGCAGTCAAATTAACTACTTACCTTAGATTTTTTATTTTGAGTGCTGTGTGTGTGTGTGTGTGTGTGTGTGTGTGTGTGTTTATATATATATATATATATATATATATATATATATATATATATATATATATATATATATATATAACAATTTTATTCATTCTTCTATCTTTACATTTACTTACTAATCTGCACCAAGCCAATCGCTAAGACAAACAAGGCCATTCATATTTTCAGATGATAAAAAAACTTTCTTCTTTTGCACAATATGACCAAGAGAAAACAACCTTTTGCAAGTTATGGATGTTGCAGGTGTTGCAAAGCCCTTCTGTGCAATTTAAGCCAGCCTGCTATGTG